CCCCCCGCAAACGTCTTCTCCCACCTGGGCGTTCCTTAGACTTTCAGTGGAGGCAAGAGTGGCCGCTGGCCCGCCTCTGTACCTGCTAGAGAGTGCTATTTTTTCATTCGCCTCTGAGCACGCCATGAGGAACCAGCCAGATCTGTCACACACTCTGTGACACGTGGGCTGGCAGGTGTGGCGAGGCAGCGGGGGAACTAAAACCCTGGCCCCTCTTGGGAGCGCAAGGATGAATGATGCCTCTGATTGTGACTCCAAGACCAGCTGGATTCTGAGCAGCAAGGGTCTCAGTCTTGCCTTCCTCCCATGGTCAGAGCATCCTCAGGGACAGTGACATCCTTGTGCCTGCCTATCCCCTAAAAGCCCTGTGCTTGCGGGGACCCACCAGGACAGGCAGCAATCTGAGGACAGTCTTGCTGCTGGCCTCAGAAAGAAGGCCCCAGGTGGTGCCTGCAGGCCGGGGGGAGGTGACCCAGGCTGGCACCCCAGAACCTGCCCTTCTACCTCCTGCACCTGTTGCCTGCCTGTCGGAACTCCCAGGGCCCAGGTTCCAGTGACAATCCTATCAGCAGGATCTCCTGGCACATTTATACACCCACCCGGTGAAACACTATCACGAAACAAGTGGCACCTGGGCACTTCACTCCATCTCACTCTACGACTTCGGGGTCTCAGGCCAGATAACACGCACGTGGGCTTCCCGGGCCTGGCCTCAGAGTCGACGACCCCTCTCTGGATGCCACTACCCAGCTCTGGTCACTGTTTTGGTTCTGGGGTTGAGCCCAGGGTCACTTAGCTGCTGAGCCACATCCCCAGCCCTTTTTTATTTTTTATTTTGAGACAGGGTCTTACTAAGTTGCTCAGGGCCTCACTAAGTTGCTGAGGCTGGCTTTGAACTTGGATCTTCTTGTCTGAGCTTTCCAAATTAATGGATTACAGGCATGTGCCACTGCGCCTGGCAGCTCCCCAGTCTAAACATTTACTCGCCTTGAAGGTTCCCAGGATGCTGCCTCCATGCCTGGCTCCAGGACAGAGCCGAGGACCTGGGCACAGCGGCCTGGAGAGGAGGCACCTAGCAAGAGCTGGGGAGAGATGGGCCCTTTCTCACCCACTATAGCCAGGATGAGCTCAGGAGCTGTGGGGGACAGTTCACAGCTGGAAAGTAGTCCAGTGTGAAATCCTAGATCAAGCAGTGCCTGAAGCTAGAGGTCCAGCCCTAGACTACAGTCCTGAGCTGGTAAATGCCCCTTTTACAGGCTCACTGCCCCTGCATTTGAAAGAAATATTTGAACAGCACCCAGTCTTCACGGCCCTACCCTGAATCCATGAATCCTGGACTCTCAAGTATTTGCAGGGTTTTCTCTGCCTAGAAAACTCCCATGCATCCTTTAAAACCCAATCCAAGCAGCTCCACTCTGAGCCCCTCTCCTTGTCCTTGGCATAGCCTGGGTCCTTCTTTGAAAGCCTGTCCACCCATGGACTGCCAACCTCCAGAGCACAAGGGCCACCTGCTGGGCTTGCCTGACCCCAGCAAAGACGCCGAGTCCCCTCTCATACCTCTTTTCTGGTGTGCATCCTGAGATCCACCCGTAAAGGATTCTGACTGGGTGGGTGTCATTGTGCTCTGGTGAAGGGCGGAGTCTGAATTGGTCCTGGGGGAGAGGGGAGAGACAGTGAGACCCCCCCAGAATAAAGAGGAGTCATGACCACAGCCATACTACAGCCCTGGCACTATGTGCCCTGCCCAGGACACACCCCATGGGACAGGGTGGCAGATGTAGTCATTTTTCAAACTGCTGCACCTGAGCAGAAGGACATCATTTTGAACAGGACCACTAGACTCAGGCAGTTTTTGTCCACAAAGCCCACTGAAATCCAGGTCAACAGTAAAGCTGTCCCTCTGTTCCCAACTGCCCCTGCCTGCCCCTTCAGTAGGGGGTCCTGGCTTCAGGGACAGGATGGCCCTTCCTGTTGAAATTCCCCGAGGGAGCCTGAGGGTCCCACAGGGACCTGGCCTTAGGGGGTTTGAGTGTGCAGCCTGTCACTAGGTCCCTTCCTGGTGACAAAACACAAGTGGGTGAGTATGTCCTCTAGAGGCTCAGTCTCAAACATGCTGTGATGGATAGAAAGGGAGGTTCAGAGAGACCCCTGAGTGCCCCCTTGGTGGGAAACCGACTGGGGAGGGGCAGTCCTGCTCCAACCGGTCGGACCCTGGAAGGAACCTGGTGGAGACTCCGTCCTGGGAACTCCCGTGGGGAAACTGACAAGAAAGGCCAGGGTGAGCCAGGCATGATGGCCCATGCCTGTAATCCCAGCAGCTCAGGAGGCTGAGGCAGGAGGATTGCGAGTTCAAAGCCAGCCTCACGAGTATTAGCCAGTGAGTCCCTGTCTCTAAATAAAAGAAAAAAAGGACTGGGGATGTGGCTCTGCAGTTAAGCACCCCTGGGTTCAATCCCTGGTACCAAAAAAAAAAAGGACCAGGTCAGCCAATCTGCTCCCAGCTAGAAGTGCCTCGAGGGAGGGTCCCCAGAACAACTCCTAGACAGGAAAACGTGGGTCCAGCTGCAGAGCTGTAAACCAAGGAGGAGACTAAGGGCCAATGTGCGCCCAGTGGAGATATCCCAGCCTCTAAGAGTGACTAGAGGAAACGTGGTCCAAGGAGAAAAGGATATAACGGTGCAGGTTAAAGGAGTCTTGAACCCTGGATCCTAGCCCTGCCCCCAACCAGCTGTGTGTCCCTGAGTCAGTGTTCTGGCTTCTCTGTGCTCAATGTCTATGTCTAAAATGGGAAAACAGAGCCTAAGCCACACAGTTGTCTGTTGTGTATCAGCTAATGTGTGCTTAGTGGATACTTAACTACGTGACTGTATCATGTCATGAAATTATGTGTGCGCGTGTGCACATATGGTTGTGCGTGTGCTGCGCATGTGTATCCAGTTGTCTTTCCATATCTGTTCCTTGGAAGGTTGGTCCCAGGATCCTCCTCAGACACCAATATCCATGAATGCTCAAGTCCCTTCTATGAAATGGCATCTGTGTAGACTCCAAGCACATCTGTAGATGACTTATAGCACCTAATGCACCATGAATGCTATGCAGAGTTCTAAAGATGTGACTTTTTCTCTTCTATACACCTTTATGCATTTTCCTAGTCTTCTAGCACAAGCCTAGAAAACTTTTTTAAGGGGGCAGGGTAGCGGGGATCAAACTCAGGGGCACTGGACCACACCTTGAGCCCTATTTTGGATTTTATTTAGAGACAGGGTCCCTCTGAGTTGCTTAGTGCCTCGCTTTTGCTGAGGCTGGTTTTGAACTTCGATCCTCCTGCCTCAGCCTCCGGAGCCACTGGGATGACACGTATGCGCCGCTGCACTCAGCCTGTAACAAGTGCATCTTCAATAATTTGTTCGGTAACATGAAAAACTGCTCATCAAGCATCAAATGAAACAGCAAGTGGCAATTTGAGATAAAGAAAATAAAGAAACAGACAAAAGTGAGGACGGGTTGAAGATCCCCTAGGCAGAGCGCTGGCATTATAGAGTGACAGTGATTTCTAGAAACTTGGGGACGTGTCTTCGTTTCCTCATTTTGAGTAACTCCGCCCTCACGGCTTTTCTATGCAGTACTATGGTGAAAGTTTAGTTTTGTTCCCACCGAGTGGGTGGGGGCTGGGAACCAGCTCTGCCCACTGACCTCCTCCAGCTGGTGTCCGCGGGTGGTGACAGATACACAGAGCCGTATGGACAGCTGTCGGCGTGAGTGTGAGTTAAGGGGACACACTGTGGGCTTGGGCCTGCCTGCACCGAAGTGCTCCTGGCCACTGAGCAGGAAGACCCCTGCAGCCCAGCGGCCCTGCTGCTGGAGCTGCAGGAGTGGTGGCCAGGCCTGCACACAGCTGGGGCCGGCGGGGCGGGGTGTCCGCTGCTGCCTCACAGGCGCTTCCTGCCAGCCTTTCCTGCCTGGCTGTGAGCAGCCCAGGCCATAGGGGCTCCCCGGGGGTGCGGCCCCACTCCACCTACCACTCAACGCTGTCCTCTTGCAAGTGCACGTGCGGCCTGCACCCGGTCCAAGCGGGGCCTGCACCGCGGGGAGTCTGGTTCAGCTGACCCTGGTCTCGCCTCTTAATTCTGGGCTGATGGGGCCGCTCCCGGGGCCTGAGGGTCCGGTCTGGGACTCAGCTGGTTGCGCTTCCCCAGCCCGCGGAAATGAGCAGCAGAGAACAGGCGTCTGCTCTGCAGAGCTGGGGATCCCAGGAACCACCTGAGGCTGCTCGGATTCTGGTGCTGGGGGCCCAGCTGGCGGAGCACCAAGGGGTGGCCGAGCTGGGGTGGGGGGGAATCTGGCAGATCTCTGCTTGGCCGAGGAACAGATGCAAATTTTACATAGAAATGGAGCCACCCTCAGACCCTTCCCTTAGCTGCCTGGGCTGGGCACCCCCATGCACTGCCCACCAGGGCCCCATCAGCCTACAGTCCTGAGACACGGGCTCCCACTCATGGCCCTCCGGGCCCCACTGCCTTGCTAGGACCTTCTGTGGGCCAGTGTCTCCTGCCTCAACTCCTGCCTTGGGAGGCGCTCCCTGGGCCACCCTAGCTCCAAGGGATCAGAACAAAGGCTCCTTGGCTTGTGGCACTGCTCTAGGAAGCCCCCTGGGTGGCTGAGTCCATCTCCAGAGCCAGCAGCAGGCCCCCCTTCAGCAACTGCAGGCCAACTCAGGGTCGTGTAGCTGCTGACCGGGGGACCCTATCCCTGCCTACATGTTCTCTGGGAAAAAGGATATCTGCCGTCCATGTTTGTCCACTGACAGGGGCCGGCGGTGCGGGGAGCCAAGCCGGCCACGTTCTCGATACACTCGGTCCACTAGCCCATGATGTCGGGTGGTCCGGCTGGTGTCCAGGCCTGAGGACTGGAAGGGTGTCTGGGAACAAGGAGGGGGTGGGGGGGATCGAAACAGAGAAACCCAAACAGTGGTTATCAACTGTGACCTGGTATCTCCCCCGCTCTGCCCCAGATCTAATCTCGGGGACACCCACTCCAGAGACACCCTTGGGTACCATTCTGAAGGCTGAGACGGGGGTCTCTGGGGCCCCAGCTCCCCAGCCCTCCGAGCACTGGGGATGGGGGTGCGAGAGCTGGCAGGGTGTCTGGCGCCGGGGACAGGCGTGCAGTGCAGCTGGCATGCACGGGCCAGGCAGAGCGGCACAAGCTCGGGGCCCAGTGCTGGCCAGGGTGCCAGGGTGCAGCGGCCTGAGCAACCTCCTCCCCGGCATTTCCAGGTGCACACAGGCTCCGCCCCTCCCTCAGGGCCAACGGCCTTCTAGCCCCTGCTGCGTCATCCCTGGAGGGGCTGCCAAGGGAGGGCCGGGGGCTTCTGCAGAGAACTGCTGCTGGCCCACCTGGCCAAGCGCTGGCTCCCTGGCGGCTTCCTAGTGAAGCCCAAGGCTGCTTCTCACGGAAACTGGGCCTCACACACCCTCCTCACCGCCTTAGCCAGGAGCCACCCAGAGCCCTGGCCCACAACTTCACCGGATGGGGCTTCCTTCCAGCACCTGGGGTTTGCACGAGGTCCCCAGCCAGGCCTTTGCCCCTGCCAGGCTCTGTGCGCCAGGGACCGCTGGGAGCCTGCACTCTGCCTACCCTGGCCCTGCGCTGCCCTCTTACCATCTGACCAGAGCTAGGTCAGCTGCCTCTGCCAGTTCTGGACACGGTAGGTCCCCCTACCTAGCCATCTGGGCCCTGGCCCTGCTGTCTTCTCTGGGCAGTTGAGCAAAAGGCAACTCCGGGGTTCAACGAACCGCCCCTTCCAGGACAAAGTCAGTGTCCAGAACTGCTGTCCTTTCCCACCTACCAGGACTCAGGGCTGCCTGTCCAGGGGACTCAATGGGGACTCCCAAATCTGCCTTTCACCCAGTGGAGACTCTGCTGGCTTGGGTATTGCTACACTTCTGTCCCCAAGAGGCTCGCTGTGGGGCCTAGAGGGCAGGGCCACTTATCTTTCAGAAAGTCTGAAACCCAAAGGGGAAACTGAGGCGGCTGAAGCCGAGCCAGAGGGAAACGGAGCTGGGCCAGCCACGCCCCAGCTCACCAAGCCCTGCCTGCTGGCCCCACGAGACACGTGCACACGCGGACGTGCGTGTGTTTAGAGGGATGGACCATGCAGCACTGGGGGCACATGCTCGGATTCTGCTCAGGGGGACCCCAGACTGGGATATGCAGACGTGGCATCTGCCCCAGGCAGACCCCAAGAGTGGGGGGGGGCTCTTGATGCAACCATACATATTTCCCGAGACAGGAGTGGGGAGCAGATCCATTTCCATTTGGTGGACAGGATGTCTCCCTGGGAGCCACAGGGGCAGCCACATGGGGGACTGGGGGACACCAGCAACCTCACACATGTCAGGGTCTTGCAGGCTGGTGCTGGGGATGCCACGGCCTCAGCCTGGGGGCTCAATTACCAGAGAGACAGGAGCCGCTGCCAGGGCCTCCCCCAGAAATCCGCTGGGCTGAAAATGCAAAGAACCGAGACTCTGAGATGCCCAGCAGGCAGGACGCGTGGGCCCCAGGCCATGAGCCTCCCGTGACAGATGCTCAGGAGGACCCCACACCCCATGCCTGAGAGGGCTTGGTCTGGGCCCCATGTGGGGCTGAGCAGAGGAGATGCCCAGAGAGATGTCCTTCTGGAAGGAAGAAGAGACGCAGAAACAGGAAGGGAGAGCTGGGGGGGTGGGTGGGGAGACCCAACTCAGCAAGGGCCTCGACAGGGAGGACGCAGGGAACCAGAGAGGAGACCCTGAGTGTCTGCTAGATGAGGCGCCCTGAGGAACCGATCCCAGCAGACCCCAAGCCAGCCTGCGGTGGCACCCATCCCTGCCACGGTGCAAGGAACACTGAGCTCCTGGAGGACGGCCCTCAGTTCCACCAGGCCGGCCAGCACTTAGGGACAGGGCTATTTCCACAACTCTCCCCAGCACTGGACGGGGGTGTGATCACTGGGGGGACCTGTCCATGCAGAGCCCAGACACTGCCCTGAAGGTGGCCCTGAATCACAGCTTGACCCCACCACCAGCTCCTGCTTCCACCTGCAGACCAGAGGCCAGGCAGAGGATCCTGGGACCTTATCTCCCGTTGTGTTCGATAAGGCTGTGTGCAGCGGCCTGCAGCCTGCGGGAGCCGCTGTGTGGGTCTCTGCCAAGAAACGTTTGCAGACAAGTGGGGTCAGGCGGCCGGGCCTCCTTCTGAGAAATGCTGGGCTTGTGGATTAGTGAGGCGGGACCGAGCCAAGCCCCAGAGGCCCTGAGCACTTCCCGCTGCCGCACAGCCGGCGGACAGGTGTAGGGGCTGCTGGAATGCTCACGGGCGGCCAGACAGGGGCTCGCTTTGGGGTCTGCTCACAGGGGACAGGCTGGCGGACAGGCAAGTGAACCAGGGCTGAAGCGCTGCTTCCTAATGTCCCCAGTACAGAAAGAGAGTAGGCAGGGGAAGGGAGGGCTCGGGCGATTGTCGGGTGACCTCAGCTGCCCTCAGAGTCCACAGCACATGCTCTGTGGTGAGGGAAGGGTCAGAGCTGGACCAACTTCAGGTGGGAGGCTATAGGGGCTCCCCCGGGGGAGGCAGTGCTGCAGGGGGCTCACCTGGAAGGACAGGTCCATGGTGCCACTCCCGATCTGGTTCACGTTGGGCAGGGAGCCTCCGTAGTACTGGCCACGGCTCGGGCCCAATTGCAGGAACTGGGACTTCTGAAGCTGAAGCTGCAAAAGACAAGTGGCCCGCTGTCGAAAGGGAGGGGTACCTCCGAGTGCACTTCACAGAGCCCCAGCCCCCAGGGTGCCCACAGGACGTAGGTGATGAGGTGTACATCCACCTGGGAGACTGCAGGATCCTCAACGAGGTCAGCTGTCTCATGACCAAAAATGAGAGAAGAATCTGGAGGCCCTGGAATGGTCCTCCTGAGGCAGGAAGCACCCCCAAGGAAGCCCATGACCATGAACTTGGGGAGCAGCTCCCTCTCTGGCTGCCCCAGCAGGCAATCAAAGGAGCGAGAAGACCACAGACACCAGCCCAAGAGGAGCCCTGCACCCAGGGGAGCCACTTCTTGTCCTGGCTGCGCATGGAACCCTGGACCTGGGAAACCATTTTTCCAATGGCCTGAATCAGAGAGCGCTGTCTCCAAAGGACAATGACGCCTTTCAAGGAGTAGCCCTTCGGATCCCTGTGGCAGCCTACTCAAGACCAGGGCTGAGCGAGTCCCTTAGACCCAGCCCGAGTTCTTGGGGTCTTGCCCATGTCCCCAGGCTCCTTCTGGGTATCCCGCGGGCCTCGCTGATGCTGGCCCAGCCAGGCACCTCCAAGGGGCAGTGTCCCTGCTGCTCACTCCACAGCGACCAGCACTCGGCGCAAGGCCTGCAGCTGCCTGACTGACCCTGATGCCCCAGAACGGGGCGGAGAGGTGGTCCCGCCTCCCCACCAGGCTGATTCTAATCTGCAGAGAGCAAAGGCAGAGGTCCCTGGCCCGGGTGGCAAGAGGACCTTCAGGGATGATGGCCCACAATCCCTACCCGGCCACCAGGAAGGCGGCTGCCATGGTGCAAGGTGGGAGCAGTGTTGGCTGTGGCCCGGCAGGGGCGGTTGCTAGGTCCACTCTGTGTACACAACAAGGCCAGCTCGCGTTCCCTCACAAACAGCTCCTGGCAGGCTCGGGAGCTGGCCGCCTGGCTGCTTGCTCTCCCACGCCAGCCCCAGCTTCCTGGGGGGCCTCGGACACCGGAGGGGGAAGCGAAGCTCGGGAACTGGCTGAGCGCCCAGCAGAGCACCTCGCCCAGGTAAACAGCTGCTTCCTGTGAGCTGCAGTGGGGCTGAGCGCGAGATTAACCTCGTGTGCTCCTGGGTGGCTCCCCGCACCTGCGCAGCCTGGCCCGGGGTCAGGCTGGGAGGCCCCGGCCCACAGTGGCTGCCCGTCAGCCACGCCCACCAAGAACACCCCACTGCGTCCTTTCTGGCAGACATGCGAGACAAACAGGCCAGCTGCAGGCCAGAGGGGGAGGCCAGGCAGGGTGGGTGGGGCCCCTGCAGCTCCTGTCCCCAGGCCCTGCCTGGGCGCATGTCCCTTCCGACCTCCCACGACCTCATCCACATCCTCCTGTGTCAGAGCTATAGGGCAGGAGCCCGTGCTCTGTCCACTTCTTGTGGACCTTGTGGCCTCTGAGGCCTAAGCCCTCCACCCTTCCAGGTCTCGGCTCCCCTTCCCTAGACTCAGACACAGGGCGGGTCTGTGCGCAGAGGTGGGGCATGAATGGAGGCGCTCATCAGCAGTGCTGTCCACGCAGGAGACCTGGCAGCAGCAAGAGCCCGAGGCCAACCTGCTGATCCTCTCATGGGATCGGACGCTGACAGGATGCTCCCAGCCCCCAGGTCCCACCTCTGTCCAAGCCTCTTTCCTGTGATGCCCCAACCCAACAGGTCTGGACTGAATATCATGGAGGACGGTTGTCACTGAGTGCTACATGCCTACTCCAGAGGCTGAGCACAGGATCCCAAGTTCCAGGCAAGCGTGGGCAACTTAGCAAGACCCTGTCTCAAAATAAACAGAAAGGGCTGGGGGTGGGGCTCAGGAGCAAAGCGCCTGCCTAGCCTGCAAGCCCAGAGTTCCATGCCTAGTACCACGAAAAAAAGAGTTACTGTGTCCCCAGGGCCTCAGGCCACCCTAGATGTCCAGTCCACACTGTGGTTTAGGGCGGAGGCCCTGGGCCACCCAGTATCAGCTCAGCTTCTGGAGGAGTAGACACTGATGTCAGCCACCCTAGTCATTATCCACATGGACAGGACAAACCCCCAATAAAAACCTCAGCCCCCAAGGCCAGGGAACATCCCGGTTGGCAGTACACCATGCCTGTTGTCACACACAGCTGGGAGGATCCAACACTGTCCACAAGACTCCACTGGAGGGGAAACTGGAAGTCACTGCTTAGTCTCCGATTCCCTTTCTGACCTGAACCCACGTCCCTCTGCTGTGATAATCCACCCTGTGACAGTTCCGGATGAGCGCAGTCCTCCTGGCGCTGCCCAACTTGAGAGCAGATGTAGGGACTCCCTGAATCTGTAGGAACTGACAGGCCCCCAGGCCTGGCTGGAAACCCCTGGGAGCAGGACCCTTCTCTAGGGTCCTGCCACCCAGGCTCTACCCAGTGGACTTCACGCCTCAGCTCAGCGAGCTGCTGGGCACTGAGGCACTGGAGTTAGTTCAACCTCCTTCTGCGGTCAAGCCACATCCCTTATTATGTCCCTCTCCCCCATGTCATCATCCTGTCCCCCACCATGCTGTGCTCCTGAAGCCAGAGACCTCCAGAACTGCAGCAACACTGCTGGTGGACACACGCACACGGGGTACACGGGTGAATGGACGGAAACATGCAGGGATGGACAGACACCACTGCTCTTGCCCTCTGAGCTCATGGTCACTGGCTGGGGACAGGCCCACCTGCAATCCATACAAGACCAAGGTAGGAAGCTGGAAGGCTCCATCAGTGGCTCGGCCACTCCCTCCTACCCAACTCCAGTGACAGTCAGTCTTAACCTTGATGTAACCCAAGGTCAGAGCAGACGCCTGGCCCTGGAGGGACCTCCCAGGAGGGCACAGAAGATCCCAGACAACGTCCCTCCACCCCAGACTCATGAGAGCCGACAAAGGGCCACAGATGAGGAGCTGAGGCCTGGGGAGGACATCAAGCCCAGGCCACAGCTCCCAGGGTGCCCCTCACTGTGGCCTAAGGGTCAGACAGACCAGGGTCAGAGTCCAGACTCCCCCGTCATGGGAATGGGCCCCTGTTGCCCTGGCCCCCCACCTTGTCCTCTGCCCAGCCCGGCTCCCGCAGGGCCTCTCCTGTGCCAGCCCACCTCCACCCGCATCCTGGTGGGGCCTCCCTGCCCCACCCAAGGAGCAGCCCCGTCGCCGCCACAGCAGGCCCTGGCTCTGTGACTGTCCTGACGCTGTTTTTATCGGGAAAGTTGTAGATTTACAGAAAATGGCAGAGATGCTCTTGAGAGCTGCGAGCACCCCTCGCCCAGCGTCCCCCAGAGCTCGCCTGTCACTCCTGAAGCGTGGGAGTCAATGACAGCCACGACCTCGGTACAGCACCGCCGGCTGGGCTACCTGTGCCCTCGTCACGGCTCCACAATCTCCTGGCTTGTGTCACCTCAGTGACCACGTCTGAACTGCCCCGCCTCATGAATGTCCGTCCTTTAACCTCCCGAGCCCACCAGACGGCCAGCACTTGGGACTTGCTCGGCTGGCACCAGAGCTGCACGGCTGCGGCAGACCCGCGGGAAGTGCTGCAGGTCCCTCACTGGCTGCCTGCTAGCCGCAGCCCTGGACTTTTCCAGAACACCATCCCCAGGCCATGAACCTCAAACCCTTGATTGTGACCAACCACTCAGCAGCGCCTGGCCTTTGGGGTCAGAGGGGATGACGGTTGAGGACAGATGTCCCCGCCACTGCCCTGGCTCTGAAGGGACCTCCCAGGCCCCAGAGGTGACTCAGGTTGGCCCCAGCGTCAGTGGGGCTGTGAGGGCCGGGAAGGAGCACACACTCTGGTCATCTCGCGCCACCCCATCCCTGGGCCTCTGGGGTGGGTCCACTGGGTGTTCCTCAGGCTCTCCCCGGGGATGCGGAGCCCTGCCCAGGTCTCCATGCAGCTAAGCAGCGTGACAGCCAAGTCAGTGTCCTGGGGCTGCCAAAGGACCACAGGTTGGGTGGCCCAAACCTCAGGGGTGTGTTCTCTCGCGGTCCAGGAGGCTGCAGGCCCAGTCACGGCATCCACAGGGCTGCTTCCACCTGAGGGGGAGGCCCTTCCTGGCCTGTGGCCGCGACCCTCCAATCCCCCATGACACGGGCTTCTCTGGACCTGCCCTCTGCTACCTTCTGTCATAGTCATGGCGTCGGCCCTCCATATCCACAGGTCCCACACCCGTGAACCCAACCAACTGCAGATCAGAATTACTTGGGGGAAAAATTCACTAACACTGAACACGCGCAGATCCAGCACGGCCAAGCAGCTGCTGAGCACCAATCACAGTGAAGGAGACGGTCCACAACAGCGGGTGGCGGGGGTCCACGGGAGGACATGCGCAAGACCTACAGGTACTAGATACTACAGAACGTCCTTGAGATGGATTTCCAGCCATTTCCTGGTACTGAGCCAATTCCCCTGGACACTGAGGGAGGATGGTTCCTGTCACTGGATTTAGGGGCCACCCCAATCTAGAAGGAGCTTATCTGGAGACCTTTAGTTACATCTGCAGAGACCACATTTCCAACTGAGGTCACAGCCCCAGGTTCTAGGAGTGAGGATGCTGGCATATCTTTTGGGGTGACACCATCAAACCCACAGGCCCTCTGAGGGTGGCAAGCCCCAGGGCTGCCCAGCTAGGAAGTGGCCAAGACGACATGGACTCCACACCTGAGCGGAACCCTGCATGGCCTTCACGGCTGGGGCCAGAGCCTTCCTGGGACCAGGGATCAGTGGGAGACAACAGAGGACCGCGTCCAGCGGTGGACCCGGTGCTTCTGGTCAGAGCAGCGGTTCAGTTCTCAAGGACACCAGCTCCCTCGAGGTCAAGAGCAGCCTCCGGCCCTGCCCTCAGCCCCAGCCCCAGCCCAAGCCCCTCATTTCTAGGCAGGGACCCCCCACACCTCCTGTGTAGCCTCTGCTTATGTCCCACGACCTTCTGCACAAAATTCTCAATCCCCATCCCGTGAAGCCTGAGGAGGCCCCCTGTGCTGGCGGGCCCTGCTGCACCCAGTATCCGTGCTCCTGCAGGCCCATCCCCAGCACCCACAGGTTGGGAGAAGCAGGGTCCCAAGGCTAGAGAGCAGTGGCCAGGTGGCCCTGGTCAGAAGGCCTGTAGCGATTCAGCTATGGTGACTTCTCCAGAGGGGACAAAATCCTGGGGCAGCCCCCAGTCTCCTGAGGAGTCCTGTGCGGCACCAGGTGACAATTCCCCTGCCACCATCCCCACCTTACTGCAGATGGCGTGGCCTTGGTTAGGCTGTCGGCAGTCACCAGGGCAACAGCCTGGCCTTCTAATGAGATTAAAGGGAGCAGACTGGCCAGCTCCGCCCTGCTCAGGGGCACGGCGCAGACAGGAGTTGGGGACGGAGGAGCTGTGTGCGCTGAGCTCTCCCACAGGGACGGCCTGCAGGTCTGGCCTTCCTCTGTCCCCAACACTGTACCCCAGCGCACGGGCTTCCTCGGGCCCCACACCAGTCGGCTGCTGCAGGGCCTTCACTGGCACTGCCTCCCCCGGGAACAGGACACCACCCAGCCCCGGAGAGCTGCCTTCTCCAGCTGAGCCCCTGACCGAGCTCGGTGGGTCTGTCTCCGATCACACTGTCGGCTCCCTGAGGCCCAGAGCAGAGCCGGACAGTGGTGGGGTGCAGCACGTGCGGGGGACAGTGAGATGTGAGGAACCATTCACAGTCGACTCCTGGATTCCCAGGCAGGGTCCGCGCCCCTCCCCCACAGCCAAGATACGAAAACTGAGGCTCGAGGACAAAGGGGGGCTGTCCAAGTATAGAAGTGGCAGGTACTACTGTGAGGGAGGGGAGGGCGCGCTGTTTGTGCCAGCTCCAGCCGGTGACACTCGGTGTCCTGGGTCATTCGCCACCAGGGCCCTGCAAGCCTGAGGTGGAGTCCCAGGAAGGCAGCCTGGGCAGAGGGGCTCTGAACACAGGGCTGCTCAAGGAACGGAGGGACAGGGCTCCACGGGGTCCTCCAAGCGTCCTGGGAGTCATGGTGGCAGGAGACTTCCCCCTCCGCAGACAGGCGCGTCCTTCTGACAGTTCATACTGGCCCAGTGGCCAGTCTGCAATGGCTGACATGACAGCGTCCCCAAGGAAAGCATCTGGCCAACACTGGGCCCTGCTCCGTGTGGAGGGCACTGGCAGCAGGCCAGAAAGACCCCGGGGCTGGTGGACTTCAGCACGCACACGGGCAAGAAGCGGCGGGGCAGAAGGCCAACGTGGAGGTTCAGGCTGGGCTGAAAGCATGAAGGCCTCGGGGACATGGCAAAGAACAGGGAAGGACAAATGTTAAGTGCAAAGGCCTTGGGGCTGGTGGCACCAGGTCTGAGGACCACAGTGGCAGCCAAGGTCAGAGAGCGGCTGAGAGGATGAAGCTCTCAGTGACACCCTGCATCAACAGCCAGACCAGGGACCTCAGCCCTACAGCTCCAGGGCCTGCTCATGGTGTCCAGGCCCACAGCAAATAAACCACCTGAAGCCCTAACACCGCCCCACCCCCCGCACTCCTGGGGAAGGCGCCATCTGCTCCCTGCGGCCGAGTGGGCATGGGCCTCGTCCCAGATCACAGAACCACGCGCAGGCTCCAGCGCTCTGGGGGCTGGATGGAGCAACTCTGCACACCCCAGGGGGCTGGCTCTGCACCCCCAGCCTCAGGGAGGGCTGGTTCCAGGGGGAGGGGGCTGGACACGAGCCCAAGCCCTCCACCCAGCCCTGGGCACTGGCCTTTGATGAGCTCCCTGCAGCTTCTCCTGAGTGACATCAACGGAGACTAGAACCCTGAACGTCTGAGCCTTTTCTGGGCTCCTCCAAGGGCAAAAGGAACTGCCCCAGAGCAAAACACCCCAAATGCACGTTCCTCGGATTTCTGACAGGCCCTGCTCCAGGCAGGGGTGAAGATGTGGTGCCCTGGGGACTTCTGCATTTCCCTTAGTGGACCCTTCACCTTGGTGCTGGGGACCCTGGGTCACTAGAGGGCAGCTGTGAAGAGGGCAGGCTGGATGGAAGAAGGGGCACAGCCCTGGTGCAGAGCAGTCAGTGCGAGGCCCTGAGGGCGGACGCTGCCCACAAGGAGGAGACCCGGGCGGGACGGGCCCTACAGAGCCGCGGGCCAGGACTGAGCCCAGAACCACCCCAGCCGCGCAGGGCGCTTGCTTCCTTTTTATTGTTTTGTTCAAAGTACTTTTTAGTTGTAGGAGGACACAAGATCTTTATTTTCTGTGGTGCTGAGAATCCAACCCAGTGCCCCACACGTGCTAGGCGAGCGGCCACCACTGAGCCCCGGCCCCAGCCCCTTTTTATTTTAGATTACAAAATGTGCGTTTTTTTAAAAAGGTGGAAAACCACGCGTCAGTACCCCGACTCAGTGGCCCCGAGTGTGCTGTGCAGTCATCGCTTTGGCTCCAGATGTTTCCATCCCCTAAGAACAGCCCAGCCCCGCCAGCGGTCTCTCCCCGTCCCCTCCCCCAGCGCGGGCGGCCACTGATCTGCCTTCTATCTCCGCGGATTCACCTTCCTGGACATCGCACATCAAGGAATCCTGCCATGTGTGGCAACTGTGTCTGGCTTCTTTCACGAGACGTATCTTTGAGGTTTGCCTGCGCTGCGTCCAGGATGGGGGCCTCACTCCTCCTACAGCCCAAGGTACCCCTCACATGTGTGCGCCTCGCTTCCGCTTATTTATTTATTCACCAGCTGATGGACACTTGGGCTGTGACTCCAGAAACTGAACCTTTTGGCTGCTGGGAACAATCTGCAGGGAACATGAGCTGTGTCTGCACCCACTTCCCAACCTCACAGCTCTCTCTGCCTGGGGAGGCTGCAGGTCCTGCATTACCTGTGGCGGACCTGCAGGCCGCGCTCCTCAGCAGCCCGCCACACTAGGCTCCCGCCAGCCACGGAGGCGGCTTCCAGGCCTCCGCCTCCTCCCCAACGCCTGTTCCCTGTGTGTGCAGCCCTGGGATGGGGCCCAGGCCTTGTGCACACCAGGCAAGCGCTCCACCAGAGCCACTCCCCCGTCACTGGTTTGGGATAACAGCAGTCGGGGGTGTGAGATGGCGTCTAGCTGTGCTATTTTTTGGGTGGGCGGGAAGAGGGTGGTATACCAGTAACTGAACCCAGGGGTGCTTAAACACTGAGCCACATCCCCAGCCCTTTTTATGTTTTATTTACAGATAGGGACTCGCTCTGTTGCTTAGCACCTCACATTTGCTGAGGCTGGCTTGGAACTTGTGATCCTCCTGCCTCAGCCTCCCGAGCCCTGGGATTATAGGCATGCGCCACAGAGCCGGGCTTTCATGGTGCTTCTGAACTTGGATTTCCCGGTGGTTGGTGACACTGGGCATCTGAATTGCCTGTGGGCTCTCTACAAGTCGCCTTTGGGAAAAAGTCTATTCAAAGTCCTTTGCCCGCTTTTAAACTGCACCGTCTTTTCCTTGTTGGTTTGTAAGAAGTTTATTAGATACTCTGGAAATTCATCCCCCATCAAATACACAAACCACAAATATTTTTCTCCCATCCCATAGGTTCTCTTTTCAGATGCCTGAGGATGGATGTTGAAGCACAACAGTTTTCACTGGGATGGTGTCCAATGTACCTTGCTGCTGTGCTTTTGTTACGTCTCAGTGTCCACTGCTGTCCAAGGTCAGGAAGAGCTGCCCCTGGGTTTCTTTCTAGCAGCTTCAGAGCTTAACTCACACACTCACGTCTGGAGACATTTGGACACTCACGTGTGGGGCACGTTTGGAGAGAGTGTCTGTGGAGCTTTGCTGTTGCCTGGCCCCCTGGCCCCCTGGCCCCCAGGCCGACGGAGGGCCCGCGAGCTGGCTGTGCGGAGCATCTCGGGAAACGCGGACGAGCGGAGAGGAAGGCCGGAGCGGGAGTGAATGAGAGCCTGAGAGGCGCGTGGATTCCAGGCTGAGTCACGGAGGCCCGGCCCTCGGGACGCTCGGGGGCTGCCTCCTCTCTCGCTCCCCAAGTGTAAATACAGAACCAAATACACAAACACCGGGGCCTGGAATGCCTTTAATCAGGCTCCGCAGCCGCTGCCAAATTTCCAGACCCAACTGAATCAGGGTCGCCGTGAGCACGTTCTGTTTCTCTGCTGGTGGCGGCTGTGGAACACGGATGCTCTGGCGGGGATGGAGGGACGTCCCTAGGGGCAGCGAGCAGCACAGCTGGTTCACAGGGGCTCCCTCCCCCGACAGGAGACCCCGGCCTGCCAGCTGGCCGAGCGCCCTCTTTGAATGGGGCCTCCCGGCAGCCCTGCAAGGGCGGGAACACGACTGCACCCACGTTTTGCGAGCAGGGAAACTGAGGCACTGAGGAGCAGGGGACTGCCTGTCACATGGTGCCAGGAGGGGCCTTGGTTACAACCCAGGCTCTCTCCAGGGTCTGTGAGCACATCTCCTGTCACCAGGAGTGTCCCTGAGCTTGAGGGCTGTACTCCATGGCCCTGGAGGCCACCCCAAACCTCCCACTGCAGCCCCCAGGCCTTCCTGCATTCTGCCACTGGGCCCTTGCACTTACCACACCCTTGCCTGGAAGCTTCTATGGTGGCCCCTGCTCACCATTTGGGTTTCAAGCCAAATACCACCTCTTCAGGAGGTGACCTCTCTGACCTCGTGGCTTGCTTCCAAAATGACCCCCTGGAAGCTGGAATTCTGAGACCAGGTGCCAACTGGTTCCACTCCTGGCGAGGGTGCTTTCCTGGCCAGCAGGGATCTGCCCCCTGGGTTTTTCCAGGGCCCTGTCTGGGTACCTGGGGTGCAGATGTAATTTCTCTCTTCCTCTTCAAAACCAATCCTATAAACTAGGGCCTTGCTCTGGGGCCTCATTAGCCTTAATGACCTCGTAAAAGCCCCATCTCCAAATACGGTCACATTAGGGGTTAGGGCTTCCTCATATGAATTTGGAGGAGCACAAAATTCAAACAATAGCACCCTGTCATGGGAACATTGCCTGCCTATGTCTGTCCAGGAGGCTGACATGCCCTGACAGCCAGGGACCCGTGCTGCCCCCAGCAAGTGTCCACAGACAGTCATATCTAGAACTGGGGAGCCCTAAGTGGCCCTACACCCCAAGTCTTCAGGGAGCGGCCACAACCAGCCAAGCCCTGTCAAGACCCATAGATCCCAGACTCTCTGAAGGAGCTCACAGGACACAGGGGTGTGAGGGCACAGGGAGGGGTCACTGAGCTACACTCTGCTGTACCCAGCCCTGGAGAGAGTCTAGGATGTAGGAGTGACCAGCTGATGCCTGTCCTCCAGGGCTGCCGGACAGCGGACACTGACAGTGGGACTGTGGGTGAATTTCTGGATTCCATCTCGTGAATGTAAGGCAAGAGGCCTGCTCCCAGGGTCTCGGGTGGGAGCTGCCAGAGGAAGCACCATCCGCTTGGAGGCGTTTCAGGCTGCAAGGCAGTCCGGGCGACCCGGACACCAGGATCTATTTGCTTCTGATTGTGCTGGGGTCAGAGCAGGCTGGGCAAGCACTACCACTGAGCCACGCGCCCGCCCGCCTCTTTCCATTTCTTTCTTTTTTTCTTTTTTTTTTTTTGAGACAGGGTCCTCCTGCCTCAGACTCTTGAGAGAGATGCGATGACAGGCATGTGCCACCAAGCCCAGCTCAGCATGGGACTGAAGGTGGGCAGCCCAGGATATATCCTGCACAAAACAGAACCCGCCCCGGACCCCTCACCCCACTAAATTCCTGCCCACGGAAGCCTTGCAATGTGACCTTATTTGAAATTAAGTTTTTTGCAGATGTAATTAGTTAAGAATCTGAAAATGAGATCACCCTGGATTTAGGGAGGTCCCTAAATCTAATGACTGGCGTCCTCCTAAAAAGAGGGAGGACACAGACAAGAGACAAGAAGGCCATGTGAGGACAGAGCCTGGACTCACGCGGCCACAAGCCAAGAACTGCCGAGGGCTGCCGGGAGCTCAGAGGCGGGCTGGGGCGGACTCCCTCGCGGCCTCCGAAGCAAGCAGCCCTGCCGCACCTCCATCCTGGGCCTCTGGCCCCCAGAATGACGAGGCTTCTATTGGTTGAAGCCACTTAGTCCCTGGACGTTGCTGTGGCAGCTATGAACCCGGCCCCGAGCCCCGTCCTGCCTCATCTGTGAAACGGGCTCAGCCACAGCTGGGGCACAGCAGGAAAGGCAGCCAGCTCTCCAGGGTCAGGAGGCCACCTGGGCCGCAGGGTCTCTGAGCTGGTCCCCAGGAGTTTTGGCAAGTAATAGAAGGGCTGTGACGAGGCAGGGAGGAGCCCAGGGCAGGGGTCTCAAGGGAGGAGGCCTGGGCCGAAGAGCAGGGTCCGCTGGGGCCCAGGAGAGGCAGGACACACAGAGCCAAGCTGGGTAGGGGCAGGGACTTAGACCCACTGGTGCGAAGGGCCAAAGATGGGGACCCTCCAGAGTGAAGAATAAGATAGGCAGGGGATCAGGCAGAGGCGACAGCAGGGGCAGAAGTGGAGGTGCAGCAGTTGGGGACAGTCCCAAGGAGTGAGGGCAGCAGGGACCAGTCCAGGTCAGCCATCAGGGCTGTCAGTACAGAGGGGTGGGGAGGCAGGGCTGGAGCCCAGGACACAGGAGGGAGGGTGGCAGATGTCATTGACTTTACAGTGCACCTGTCCAGTGGGGAAGGGTCACATGACCCCCTCAGAAGCCCTTCCAACTACATCCCCAGACCCCAGGGCTGCACAGGGTGGACGGCGAGGATCTGGGGTCTCCCGGGCTCTGAACCTGGCGGCCTCTTCCTCCACCTCAAGGCTGGGGGCCGGCGAGCATGGCTTCCCACCTGCTGACCGCGCAGCAGGCCAAGAGGCCATTCCTGCCCAGGATGTGTCCCGGCAGGCCCAGGGGAGCCACAAGGGTCCTGGAACTGAGTGTCATGGTCCACACGGAGCCAAGGCAAAGGGCAGGTGACCTTGCCGAAGGGGCTGAGGAGTTGCTGCCACCCAGGGGAGGCCATGGCCAGCCTGGGAGTGTTGAGGTGGCTTTTTACCTCTTACACTCAAGGCCCTGGTCATATACGACATCCTCAGCATGGGGTCAGCTGAGAAGAGGAAGGAGGGCGGCCACCCCCACAGCGCAGGCCACCGCGCAGAGGCCCGCCCTCCCCAGTCTGTGGAGGAAGCAGGGATCCCACGGCGCAGATGAGCTGGGCTTCTGCGGGAACCACTGAGGGCCAGGCAGGAGCCGGCCATCTGGTTTCACCTGTGACTTGGGGGAGCTGCCCGGGGCTCCAGCAGGGCCAGGCTGACACCTACGGGAGGCCGTGGGGCTGGGGACCAAAGATGCTTCCAGAACCAACTCAGCTTCCAAAGCAGGGAGCAGGAGGAAGTTCCTGGTGGGCGTATTTGTTGTCTGCTATAACGACCGACCACAAACCAAGTGGCTGAAACAGCAGAAATACCTTCCCTCACAGTTCTGGGGGCATAAGTTCAAAGCCAAGGTGTGGGCAGGGGGCTTCCCCGGAGGCTGGGAGGCAGAATCTGCCCTAGGCCTCTTTCCTGGCTTTGGTGGCTCCCGCAATGCCCAGAGCTTGTAGGCACATCACCCTAATCTCTGCCTGCTCACATGTCCCCTTCCCTTCCTGTCTCTCTTTTTAATTGTACCTTCTTTATATGTACATATATATAAAAGTCGTAGATGAACACAACACTTTCATTTTTGTTTGTTTATTCCTACGTGGTGCTGAGAATGGAACCCAGTGCCCCACACGTGCCCGACAAGCGCTCTACCTCTGAGCCACAACCTTATCTTTTTTTTTTTAATATAATTTTTTTAGTTCTCGGCGGACACAACATCTTTGTTGGTATGTGGTGCTGAAGATCGAACCCAGGCCGCACGCATGCCAGGCGAGCGCGCTACCGCTTGAGCCACATCCCCAGCCCGGCCTTATCTTCTTATAAGGACACCAGTCACTGGATTCAGAAACCACCCAGAACCGTATACTTACTCGATTAGATTTGCAAAGACCCTATTTCCCAATGAGGTCGTACTCGCAGTCATGAATGGCCGTGACTGTCCACTGGCTTTCTTTGGGGTGGGGAGTCACTTTTCAACCCACTACTGCTCGAGGCTCCAGCCCCAAGGGCCCCCGGGGCGGCATCTTCTCCTCCCCAGGCCTAGTGTCCTCCACTGCCACCCAGGGGACCCAGGGGTGAAACAAGGCCAGCACACATCAGCAGAGGCGGAAATGATCAGGACTCCGAGGCAGGTGGCCGGTAGCATCGGCAGCGCCATTTGGCAGCATCTGTGGAGAGCCTGAGCCACGTTCCCGACCTCCGACCCGGTAATCCCACTTCTGGGAAGCCGTCCTGAGGGAGATCATCCAAAACGCAGATTTATGCGCAAAGATGTTCTTGCGTCAGGAGAGCAAGCAGCCAGATCCCGTTCCAGGGCACAGCCTCAAGTCGGACAAGACTGAGGACTAGGGCACAAGAATCAGGGAAGAGCGTGTCTGGGTGCCGTGGCCAGCTCCAGAGCTGAGATGTGCCACGTGTTCCAGAAATCCACGGGAAATCCACGCGGGCACAGAGGGGCCCAGGGTAGGGCCACACTGCCCCCAACCCAGGGACGTCCCCGAGGGGACTGGGCAGAGCAGGAGGGTGGAGGTGGCAGGGATGGCAGCTAGCAGTTCAGAAAGGCCACAGACAGCAAGGAAGGGATTCTCCAGAACAAAGGAAGAGCCCGGTGACCCGCCCAGGAGAGGCGCACACAGGCTACGATGAGGAGGGGAGAGCACGAAGTGCAGCCAAGAGGGGAGCCCGGCCAGGCCACACCAGCGGCGCTTCCAGAGGAGGGCGCAGGCCAGCCAGCAGGTACCAGGGACCGAGCTGCATTCACCAGCACCCTCAGGCACGGACAGCTCAGACTGAGCACTTAAGCCTTCTTCAGTGTGGACTGAGGGCCCCACACGTGGGGCTGGGGGGCAGCCAGGCCACTCTGTCCTCTGAGGAGGGTGACCAAGGCCCCCTGGGCTCTGGGAGGGGACCAATGCCCCCAGGTTCCTCCTGTCCAGTACAGAGGCAGGCCTAAACCTCCAGACACCAAAGAGATGGCCCGATGGTAGGTGTTTGGTGAGGGTGGCAAGGGGCTCCCCAGAGGCCACAGCAGGGAGGCCGAAGGTGAGCCAAGCTGCTGGTGGGTGACCAGGTTCAGGCGAGAGCTGGAGAAGTGACAGGGGCACAAAGTACAGAGGCCCCACAGAGGTCAGAGATCCCCCAAATCAGTCTGGCACAGGGCAGGAGCGGCACCGGAGAACAGGGTTAAACATCAACGTGAGTCCAGTGGGCGGGGGAGAGAGGACACTGGCTCCCAGGGGGAGCATGGAGAGGTCTGCAGGGACAAAGGGAGCACACCAGCTCCCACAGATGTCCCCAGGGGGATACAGGGGAGATGATCCTCAATGGGGCCCAGGTGCTCACAGGGCCAGAGACCTCCGGGAACTGAGAAGACGTGACGCAGGGACGGCATCTATGTCTGAGTCCACAACACACAGGCACCGGCTGAACCCTCAATCAAAGCCCAGATCCGGGCTCACCTATGTCCCCAAAAGACACAGCCACGTCCTGGAACCCGAGAGTGCACAACCTTATCTGGGAAAAGGGTCTTTGCAGAGGAAATAAGCAAACGATCCAAGGATGAAAAACTTATCCTGGAATACCTATGAAAGACCCCAAATCCCATGGCTGACGCCCTCATAAGAGACAGAAAAGGGGGGGACAGATCAGGAGGGGAAGGCAGGGACTGAAGGGATATGGCTCCAAGACAAGGAACGCCTACGACCCCCAAAAGCCACAGGAGGCAGGAGGGGCCCTCCCCTGGAACCGGGGAGGCCCAGGCGCCCTGCTGATGCCTGAAATTTGGACTTGGAACCTGCAGGACTTTGCGAGAGCTCATTCCTGTGGTTCCAGCCGCCTGGTCTGTGGCCGCTTGTAACAGGAGCCAGGGACATTTATCCGCATGCTCCCCAACCTAAGGCAGGTGGGACCATCTCCCCTGGCCTAGGGAAACCAAGGACCCAGGTGGGTAGGCGGGGCTGAGGCGCAGGAGGCTCCTGAGCCCCCAGCATCACAGTTGCTGGTCCCACACGCGGCTCATCACAGAAGCCCCTCCCCAGACAACAACGACAACACGACGCCTGTCACCTCTCTCAAGACCTGTCACCTCTCTCAAGTTGGAGACGGTCCCAGCAAGTGGAGAAGGCACCACACACTCTAGCACCTGCCTGCGGGTGGAACAGCTGTCCCCTCCCCCTCCCTGCGATTGAATCTGGACCCCCCGGATGCTGCTGAGGCCGATGCCCACCCTGCGGTCACCGCGAGTCCTCACTGACACTCCCCAAGGAGGCCCCCGAGTCACTCTCTCAACCTGCGGCCATCCACGTGAAGACTGCAGTTCTGTTGTGGAGGTTTTACGCTCAGGTAAGGGTGTCACAGCGTCACTCTGTGTGAGATGGTGCCATAGATCTGGAAAGCCCCCCAAGGGTACCTGTGCAGCAGGCCTGGTCCCCAGCAGAGGGGCTTTGGGGAGGCGGGGCCTAGGGGAGGAAGTGAGGCACTGGGCGTCCTGGAGACGCTGGGCCTGGCCCCTTTCTGTCTCTGCTTCCTGTCTGCCACGAGGCGACAGCCGCCTTGCCACATGCTCCGTGCCACGATGTACAGCCTTGTCACAGGCCCAAGGCAACAGGGCCAGGTGACCACAGAATAAAACCTCTGAAACCAAAATACACCTCTTCTTTTAAGGAGATTATCTCGGCACTGCGTCCCGTCCCGGTGACAGCTAACACAGGAAGGGACACCATTGCCAGTCGCCCCTCCTGGGAGCCCTGAATAAACCACCCCACCCCAGAGCCTCACCAGTGTGTGTCACTTTTGATGAAGCTGCTGTAGACCAGGCACTCAGAAAGGGGACCGCCCTGTTCCACCTGGGCCTGACGCCCCTTGACGCACTCTCCTGCACGGAGGCCCCGCTGACCCCCCGGGGCACGTGGCTGCGAGCTTCCTGCTCCTGACTCCACATGGCGATTAGGCAGGAAACACCAAGCAAGTGCCTCACCTTCCACAATCCTGAGGTCCCCTGTCCTCTGCCTAGGATGCAGGCCAGTGAGGGACGAGGCCACTGCTGGGAACCCTGTCCGGGACCCCAGCCCCCACTCTGAACTGGCCTCCGCCATGAACCTCCAGCACTCTAAGCTGCACTGGAGCTCACAGCGGGGCTGACGCATCGACTCGGGGCTCAGGCCCTGCATCTGGACCCGGCTCTGCACTTGGGGCGATGGGGACACCCACCCTCCTCTGCTTCTCACTGCTGTACTTCCAAAGTGTCGCCAAGGGCAGGGATGTGGGACACAGAGGGACAGGTGGGAAGAAGAGGCGCCAAAAGGTAGCCCCGTGGCAAGGCACCTGCCTGCGGTGCAAGAGGCCCGGATGCGAGCCCCAGCCTACAGCAGAGAAAAGTGATGACCTAACAGAAAAGTGGATCTTAAGATGTGGTCCATCCACACACTGGACTATTAGCCAGGCATGAAAGGAATGACCCTGGCCAGCTCCAACACAGGTGAGCCCCAGCAACACGGCGCTGGGTGACAGAAGCCAGACACAACAGGCCAAATGGCACATAATGCCACTCACATGAAATGTCCAGAACAGGCAAAGCCAGAGAGACGGAAATCAGGTCAGGGGCCCCCAGGCTGGGGGAGGGGTGGGGAGTGATGTGATGGACACATCTCCTTTTGGGGGGGACACAGAGACATTCTAGAACTGGACAGAAGCAATCGAGGCACAATGCTCCGAATGTTCTGAAAACCACAGAATGTTCCCTTTAACACGGTTAATTTCAGGGGCTGGGGCTGGGGCTCAGTGGCAGAGCACTCCTCACACACAGGAGGCACTGGTTCGAGCCTCAGCACCATGTGAAAAATAAATGAATAAGATATTGTGTTCATCTGCAGCTTAAAAAAATTAAAATAAATAAACAAACTGGTTGATTTCATAGTCTGTGTATTTCACCTCAGTCACAACATTGGTGATGCTCAGCGGTCTCTGCTGGACGTTGGCTCTGGCCATGTCACTCCAATCTCTGCCTCCATCATCACATGACCTCTCCCTGGGCGTCGGTCTCTGTCTGGTCTCCTCTTTTTATGACACCAGTCACTGGGTTCAGGGCCAACTCAAAATTTAGGACCACATCACCAAGATCTTAATCGCAAATCACACCCCAACAACCATTTTTCCAAAAAGGCCCCAGTCACAGGTGCCAGGAGACAGGACGTGGGTGGGGGTGCTGGGGTCACTACCCAACACAGCACACCAGCACTGTGGTAGGCCAGATGGGGCCCCGCGAGCCACGCCTACAGTGTGCCCCAGGTCTAACTCTCACTGGCCAAGGAACCCAGGACAAGTGCCAATCACTTGGCCTCAGTTTCCTAGACCCAACACCGCTGGGAGTCCCCACTGGCAGGATGGCGGGAGGTTGGGATGTCAGTGAATGGGACACAGGTGTGACGGGCTGGCAGTGCACGTCCCCAAAACCCACGGATCAAGCCCAACAGCACACCCCCCATGCTCTGCTCCGCTGGGGTACAGGACAGCATGGGGACCCAGCTTCCCCATGACCTGGGCATTCCCAGGTGCCCGATGTGAAGTGGGGTAC